CAGGGCGCTCACATTTCCCGTTGCTCTGTATGGTGCTGAACCCTAGACTACCAAGGAACGAGACAAAAGGAAAATCGATGCCCTGGAAATATATTGCTGGAGACGAGTGCTGCGTGTACCCTGGACGACACGAAAAACAAATCAATCAATCCTAAATCAGATCATCATACTTTGTATATATATCAAGGTGCGATATTTTAGGAAAATAGCAGCTTTAATTTTTGAGAACGTACGTTTTACTCAAATTTGGCTGCGTTTAGGCTGATCTTCCAAAAAAAATAAACAAATAAAAAAAAAGCTATTGGTTATGATAAAATATATTTTTTGTTAAGCAGTCCGGTAAGGAAATACCAAAACAGAAATCGCTCCCTCTTTATAGACGAGAAGATTAATAGCGTCGGTTGAGTATTTATTTCTCGTTTTAATCCTGACTTTAAAGGGAAAAACTATTGGGTGTACCCTTTTGAACGCTACGCATTTTCAGACACGTTGATTGAGTGTTTTCGGAGCAGGTTTCAATAGAAAAACCTGTTTAAATCTATTTCAATCGAGTTACCTTAATTCTCTATGGAGTGTTTACATTGGTACGCCATTTGCAATTTGCATTCGAAAGGACCAGCTTTTGCAATTAGATGTACCGATTCGCGTCATTTTTGTTGCTAACTGCATTTTGGAGAGAAAGGATAATTTATCTTATGTATTTTACCCAAAAAGTCGGTTAATGGGTATGGGTAATATAATAATAATTAGCACTAACTTGGCATGGAGCATCGAGTGTAAATATGTTTCGAAACAGTTGGTGTCATGAACCATATAAGCCAAAACGTAATGAGAGGAGATCTTCAATCTTCAGATTAACCAAAGTTTAACTTCATAGTGGTGATTTTTTTTCATATAAATAATAAATATCTTTAATATACATGGTCTTTTCACAATAGCCGTTGATTGGTTCCGTGGCAACAAGTTGAAAAAACGCCACTTTAATTACAAGTTTGATTTGGCACGAGCAGAGCACAGGAAATTATAGTGTAATACAAAACCGACTGAAGAAATTTATCAACGTGTTGGACATTATCCTATATTTCATTGTATGTTAACTTTATACCAAATTTTAATTATTTACCGGATCTTTAACTATTTTCGAAATGTCCTGTGGTATACCAATACAAATACAATTCTTTCTAAACCAACATTTGTAATTGATTTTGTAATTGATTGATGTAGAACTTACCAACCAATCATTGGATGATCGAAAGAATGTAATTTGGATTGGTTATGATTTTATATATTTATTTACAACGGTATCAAACGTAAATCGAACGTGAAAATCCTAAGGTAATGGAAAACATCAAAACTTTTTATAACAACGGTATACGATGGAAATACTGGACAACCCCCTTTTCGCTTAAAGTGACACCTTAACATTAATAAAATAGACACGATAATTCAAATTATGTGAAAATCAACGCTAGTACTGGAGCTTTGCACAGCTACCCTATTTTGTGTTCACCGAAGTTGTAATTTTTTTTTTCAAAATATGCAGGATACTATTAAATTTTCTGGGAAAACCAAGTTAAAAATAGCAGATAATGGGGCACAGTATATGAAATCCAATTTATCTAAGTGTCCCCCCGCCCCCCCATAAAATGAGGATATATGATGCAACATAGCAACGAGATAAATAAATCTAGTTGCAAGGTCGAAGCAGCCCGACAAAAATTTTTAGGAAAAACAATAGCGTGCTGGAATTTTTAACGGCGACCGGCATATGTCCACTTCGGTAAAATTGTTTGCCTATGTAAATTTAAAATTTAAATTTTGGCGGTCGTGTGGGCCCCACATCAGTTTAGAAACTTTTCTTCTGCATTCGGAGTTTGCAATTCGTTTTTACGAATGGTTTAATGAATTAATTGCACTCGAGGGGTGTTTAGCTATGGAATTTGCTGTACAGGGTGACCCACATAAAATCCGGATATAATATAGAATATTTATTTCAGTTAAAAATTGTGCGTCTGTTAATCGATAGAACTTGCTGACGTTTCGTTGATCATCTTGTTGGTTTCCTTTGAAACAGTTTCAATTAAGCTCTGAACAACCGACCCCTTAGGAATCCAAAAGATTTTTAAATATTGACGATTTCAATTGCTTACGAAATATATTTGTATGAAATGGCCTATACCCATCTATCGTCTTAGATTTTCGGTTATTTCTTTGGTAGAAGAATTTTTGCATGTAAATTTTAGTTTTACCAAAATAAAATTTGCTGTCCGGTTTCGTGATTGTGTTCGGCAAGTGCTGATGAGTTATTTGTCGTAGTCTTAAGACTTTTTTATGTTCTTTGAGCCTAGTTGATATTCTTCATCCGGTCTCTCCAATGTATTCTCTGCTGCATATGAATTGAATACTGTAAACTCCTGGTATCTCAAGTAGTAATTTGGCAAGCGTGGGGTTGCTTTCATATTTGCCTTTGGAAGGTTGTGGTGAAGTGTTTTTTGTGAGGAAAACTTTAGTGCCATAAAGGCAAAAACTTACAAATATAAAAAAAGTATCTTTATATGATTTCACATTATGCTTTTTCCATTTTGTTGTTTTGTTTTTTTTAGATAACTACAACAACAGATGTTAAATAAAATGAGTTATTATATAATTCAATATAGTGTTTTAAAATATGAATAAGAACATTTTGCAATATTTATGAACTGTTTCCTAAGACAAATGGCTACAAATGGGTATTTGTTAGCTATTTTAAACAAAATCACCGTTTTGTGAACACCCTGATTGCTAGTAATATCTAGTGTTTTAAAATATTTAACTTCTATTTAGAAGTTTTAACAACTGTTATAAGGGATCGTTATCCAAAATATGTCACAGGGCGTTTGGTTTACTTTTAAAGTTGGACTATGTTCTTAAAAAAGTAAACACCTTACTTACATAAGTGCAACTTATATGGTTTAAGAACAAAAACATTTAGCATTTATATAACTAAAGTTCATTTTGTGCCCACATTTCGAAAGCTTCTCACTTTTTGCACATTGCGTCTGTGAGTGTCCACCCATCAACACCGTAGAACAGATCACTAAATACTCCTACATAGTAACGTAACAGTCGGATTCTAAGGGAAATATTTGAGTGTCTACTGGTAAAGATATATTTATGAAGGCTTGTCCGGCTTGGTTTATCCTACTGCTAATTTCGGATGTTAGATTCCATTTGTCATTCAAATTGCAGCACGCCCCACTTCATAATTTTTAACGGTCGCATTACCACCTTGAATCAACTGAGCTTTATTGACAACGAGCCATTTCGTTTTTGTAGTATTACGTCTGAGACCCCTGTAACTGCGACCAAAAGTTCTTGCAGGTCTATGTGGGTAGCAATTAATGCCGTGTTATAGTTAGTCATTTTTTTGAGTGTTCCATTTTTTTCCCAGGGTATCGTCTGTGCTCCTCGTGTATCGAGTGTTGCTGGTTTTTGCATTCAAACCTTCGCTGACCTTGAAACTCCCAGCTGCTGGAGATAATAAGGTAAATTTTTATGTTCTAGTATATTTATCGAAATGACTGTGGGAAGTATCCCTACTCTTTCGAGATCCCAGAGCTGCTTCAGCTCAAATGATTGCTGCAGGTTATATCTCACCTTATAGGCTTTCTGGATGTTTTCATCTACTGGAATAGTCATGTCAACAACTGTAAATGATCTTTTCTGTTTATTTAGTACCAAAATATCAGGCAATCATTGGCAATTTGATCTGGTGCTAAGGTATTTCCGTGGCAATGTGCAGCGAGACAGAACATAATGGTTGGTTCCAACAGATCCCAGCTAGCCTATAGTTTCAATTTCAATCAAATTTCATTTTGGTTGATTTGATAAGCGCAATTGTTGTTATTTGCAAGTTATTATGTTTTAAGTTTGTCTAATAAAGAACACCGAAATTCTAAGGTAGGTTTATCTCGTTTAGTAATTAAGGGAGTAAAGGGTCAAAAAAGTGTCATTTGTCAGTATATGAATATTAAATTCATATAATGCACATATTGTTTATAAGTATTTAAATTATAAAAAACTATTTACGATAACATTACTGAAACTCTAGTGGAGCAAATTAAAAATCCGTTAATAATTTATATTTTTTAATGCAAAATTTGTCTGCAGCTTCTCTAAATCCATCAAAGAGCGTGGAAGCTCTCATTGGAAGGACAGTGGAGTTAACTGGCATTCTAAGGTCAACCTTGCTTCGGTTCCTTGATAAAGATTCACTAGAAAAGAAGGAGTGATGTGACAAAGCCGTAATGAGAGTGTTTAGGAATGGTGATGCACAGTGGATTCGCATGGAAATATATGCGATTTACTGGCTGTCGTCAAACATTGCGCCGACAGACCCAACGATTTGCGTGAATGAAGATAAAAATATTTAACTCAAACTCATTAATTTGGGAGTTAAATTTTTTTATCTAACTTTATTTTGAATGTACCTGCACCTAGAGGGAAAAGAAGATCCATTTTGCACTGTAGCTCGAGGGACTACCAACAGGGCGTGGCAAGTAAACATTTTGGGGTAAAAAAATCCCTTCTTCCAAATATCGCACAATCCCACCAATCAGCGTAATAGTACATAGTACATACAACGATCAGCGTCAAAAAAGATGTATTGCAAGAGTTCCTTAGTAAACATGACTTTATTGTGAAGATACGTATAGAAGAAAACAACTATTTGAAGTTTTAAGAACCCATTCGTATGATAAAACTTATGTCGTAGAAAAAGTTATTAAAAAATCCGGTAATATACCCATCACATTACCACCTTATTATTACGATGTGAATGCTATAGAAATGATGTTTACCGAATTAGCAAATAAAGTTAGACAATAACACAAACCCACCTTATCACGTAATTAAAACTCAGTGTCACTTCATACTGGAGAGAAGTTGGAGGGAATGTGTTAATCATGCATTTGACATGGAAAATAGTTATAAAAAAACTTGATAAGATAAGAAAGGCAAGCTCTTCCTCTGCTAAAATATTTATTACAAAAAATTTATGAGCATTTGAATCCAATTGGAGTGAAGTTGGTGCAGTTATTAGGCTTGGAGGCTCCGCTGTACGAAATCCGACCCCAGGTCCAATCACTACAGCCGCCGTTGGCAGCGCACAAAATAAAGACAGGTACGCAATCGGTACCGCTGGTGGTAGCGGTTATCTCAGATATGTCCAACCCAGTGATGGGGATGTTGTTCTTGGGAGTACCGGTCGAACCGCCTCCCGCGTAATCTTCCTGCACGTTGATGATGTAATTGGTGATTCCTAAAAGGATCACAATGTCACCCCATCTTTCAGATAAATCAATGGTACCCACCTGTCATCTGGATGTTCCTGTAGGTGACGTTCTTTATAAAACCGGTACCACCGTCGGTGTGGGTTTTGACGTGGATACCGTTTCGAGAGTTCGACACCGACGAGTCTACGAAGGTGACGTTGCGAACCGTATTATCGGATCCGTTGTTCTGCCCGACGGACAAGCTGAGCCCGTGACCCCCAGAGCAGGTCAATTTCGAAAGATAGATATTGGCCCCTTGGTTCACGGCGACGCAATCGTCTTGGTTCTTGACGATTGCAGTCTCGATATTGATGTTGGTTGAATCAGAAATGTCGAAACCGTCGGTATTGTGACCCAATGCTTTCTGAAATCGTCCAACTGTAGAACGCAATACGGGATAAATTGCTAAAACTCACTGCGTCTCCTGCGGACACGTCGAGGGTCCAGTTTTGCAAAGTGGTACCCTCCGCACCATTGATCGATACGCATTGGTGCGGGCAGTTCAACAGGTTGACGTTTTTGAGGAGCGAGCCTCCTCTTGTCTGAATCCTAAGGAATTTGGGTTTGACCTTGCCTTTATCCCCTAAACCGTCCCAGTATTTGGCACCTTCGCCGTCGAATACCGAGTCTGTTGGATTTTTGGTAGTGACTACGTACCGCAGGTACAGAGAGGAATATACTTACTGGGGGCTTGGGTGACAGTGACATTGGTGCCTCTAATGACCACCAAGGGTCCCTTCCACTCGGAATACCCAAAAGTAATGGTTCCCGTAAGAGTTAACCTGGCGCCGCTGGTCAAACTGAGGTTCAAGGTCTAGTTGGCAGGCACGCTGATACTACCAATGCTAAGGTTCGTGCAGTTGGGCAACGCGTTGGCCACCTGGTCGTATGACGTCACCGTGCATGTGGCGTCCTGGGCCAAGACCATCCTGCCTAAGACGGAGAGGGATAGAAGTGCGGCGATTGGATACATCTCGAATACTCTTGCTGCGATAGTTTAGCGGTGCATATTTATAATTAAAACTGCGCTGATAAGTTGATATTACAAGTACTGCTCACGTCTAACGTAGTTTATTTTCGGCACGTGTGCAATAATTTTACTTTTCGCATATTTAAGTTCATGACAGTAATGTAAATAAAAAAAGTACCCGTAATGGTTTTCTAGATCTAATATTAGCTACTTGAAACACAAAGATTGCATTTGTTAAAAATTCAACTTATTTAATTGTCCGATATATGAACAACAATCAGCACTTTATAAGTGCAAAAACCATGTTATACAAAATGCGCACAAAGTCTATCGACAACTGATAGAGAGAGTAATTCTCAAATGACAGTGATATTTAATCTAATACTTCAAGCAAATACATTCAACTGAGACGCACAAAAGTTTGTACCATTAATAAAGGACGTCAACCATATCTCAGGAACCCTTAGCTCTATAACTTAAAAAAAATATTTGTAAGTAAATAGCCCAAGAGAAAAAACTGCCAATTATTTTCAAGTTCATAAAATGGCCGCTAGAAGGTGTAACCTCTACTATAAAATAGAATAAAGGAGTTATTTTTTTCTATTAGGTCAATTTAAAGGGGGGGGGGGCAAATATTGTTTTATAAAACCTTGAATAATTTTTTTTTGGCTAATCCGATTTCGACGAACTTAGTTTCATTTTAAAGAGTATTTATAGGGGCTTCGACTGGCAATTCAATATCACGTTATTAATTCTTTTACGAGTCTGCCGAAGGCGCTTCATTTCAAAAACTGCTATTTTTATAATTTTCTTGAAACTTTTAAATATAATGGTATAAGAATAAAAAAAACGAGATATAAATAAAAATGTGTTTATTAAAAATATTTTTCAACCGTAGTCTAGTAATACTACCACAGACGACAGACGTGACGTGGGATGCATGTATTTTTCACTAGAGTTAAATTTGATTTTGTCCTTCTTTGCCCATAATAATCGCCAATAATCAATAATAGTTAAAAAATGAGCTGTCAATATAATTTTTCTACTCCCGTCTGTAAAATACATAATTAGATACCGATCTAGTGTGCGGGAAGCGTCACTTTACCACATCAGTTGTATTTTCCACGGATCCGAGCCACTTCGGACATTTCCGAAATTTTACCGCACGTGTTTGGGAGCAATCGGATGATTTCGAAGATATTTCCCGCGCATTGAATTTAACGTTTGTCAATTCTGACGGCCTGTCAGTGAATGTATTCGTGTCGTTTGGCGAAAATGTACCCAAAAATTAAAGGTCCTAGAAAAAGTATAGTATGGAACACGTTCTGTAAACTTTTTGAGTCAGTCGTTTATTAAAAAATCGCTCCGCTCATGTCAGATAAATTCGTGAATCAAATGCCGTTTACCGCACTTGTTGCATAATATACTGTAAATTATATATTACATTTATTGTCAATATTGGAGGAAAGGGTAAAATAACTAAGTAGGCTTAGCTGTTGGCATGGTAACGACACGCCCAGACATCAATTCATTGAGGTATTTTCTAAATAATTCTTTTTTAATCTGGTATCCTCTCAATTATGTTTTATATATAAAAAAAATAAAAGTAGTATAGAACCTTTACTATAAATTATCATCCCGTCATAATATATCATCTCATGGTTATCTCTAATACTGCTTCTATTATACCAATGTAAAAAAATATTTTCAAATTAATTTTTATTTATTTCTGAGAGGGGAAAAACGATATTGCCATGCGGTATCGACTGATTGCTGTGTTTTTCTACGCCCTTTCATCCCCGCTAAAAATATTTATACTATTATAATTAAAATTTTCGAGAAAATCATAAAAGAATTAATATCGTAATAGTAACAAAGCAGTCGAAGCTCCTATAAATACTCTTTCAAACTAAATTAAGTTTCCTTATCTAGAGTAGATTATGCTAAAACAAACTTTGATATTAATTAATTTGGAATATTTTTGAAAATGGGGGGGGGTCTGTAAGTATTCTAAAAAAATAAAAAATCGCACTTGTAAGGGTCTACAAAAAACATCATTTTTCAAAAACTGTTTACGAGACCAAAAAAATTCTTGAACCATAAGAAGCAAAAAATACGGCTCTATAAACTTTTATTATATACAGGATGCACCGCAAATTCAAAAAAATGAAAAATGGGTAACCCTATTATTGAAAATTTTTTATAACTGAAAGACTATGATTCAGATCCCTCTTTCTTTGATATTGCGATATAGGCCGCATAGACTGCAAAAACTTTTGTATTTAAGGTTTTCACCAATTGTACAGGGTGTTGCCGATATCCCTGCTAAAAGAGAAATGTGCTAAGTATCCTAAATTTGCAGATATCAACTTCAAATTTTGCAGAGAAGTAAAAGTCCGTGTCCGCATTTAAACTGTAGAAATCGGGCGCAATCAAATTTTACCAAGTATTTTTTAAAAATAATTTAATTTTTTTTGGTAATTTTAACTTCCAGAAAAATATGTTTTCCTTCATCCGATTCTCAAAATTTTTTAACCCGCAGACGCAGGAAATCCAGTGCAATAACATTTATTTCGGGCATTTTTTGATTATATATAGGGTTTCCAAATTATAGGCAAAAATCAAAAAGACCTAGACCTAAAATTGTTCATTTAATTATTAGCCGCAAATCAAAAATCGTAAAAAATATGGTAAATTGGTTCAAAGGGTGTCACAGGCCGCATCAAGAGCTACAATTTTTGTATTTGCAGTTTCGGTCTATCACGTACGCTGTTCGGGATATTTGACAAAAACCATATTGAAATCGTTATTTCGGGGGCTGTCAAGCCACGATGACGTCATTAATTATTACGGCGCAATGCATGGTTTCAGAAAAAACTTACCACTTAATATTTTTAAAAAATTCTTGGACCAGGAAACGTGGAAGATCCAGTGCTATAACCTCTACTTCGAACTTTGTTTGAATCATATACAGGGTGTGTCGTTTATGGACAAAAAATCTAAAATATCCTACAAATTTCAATTTTTGTGGGTAAATTATTGGCGTTAAATGAAAAAGCTTTAAAGATGGGATAATTTTATTGGAACAGTATCGTAAACCTTGTCGTGAGAGAGTTTTAGGTTTCGTCAATTATCCAAGGCGCCAGAAATTTGAAAACATATCATTCGACAACGCAATTATTTGTGCAAATTTTAATATTTACCGATGTTTGCTGTGACTTTGAAGTTCGACGAGATGTGAAGGACATTTTATACAGGTGCATGCACAATTAAACTACATCGATTTTGTGAAAGTTACATAGTGGTCCGCGGGAGCACGATAGAAAAACAATGCGTCCCTTTACCACACGAAACCGCGAAGTTCTTTTCTTTTATAATAAAAAATTGCTTCGCCCTACGCGTTACGAACTTGCCGCGCCCACTGACGATTTTTTAAAAGCAATCTTGTTTAATGGGTACCCGGTACATATTCAAAACACATATGGCCAAAACTAACCAAAACTATAGTAGCAGCTCTTATTCCTGCCATTCCTGCAAACTTGTTGAAACTATTTTATACAAGAACATTTTAGCCCACATCTACTCCTGTCTAAGAGAAAAGCAACATCGCTTTTTATCTGAAAGGAAAAAGGAAATCGCAACAATCGAAAAAAACATTGAACTAATTTTTAATAAAATAGACAATGTCGCTTCGTATTTATCGCGCAGGAATTAATTTGTTGTTTACAAGGAAGTCGAATTTATGGATTACCTAGAGTTCTGCAAGGCCCCCCTCTTCTTTTTATCATTGATAAACGTTTTGCCAGGGACAGTTGAGGACTCGTATTTTTTGCTAATGATTTTAAATTGTATAGAGACATAAAGAACAAGAAAGACATACTTCCAAAAGGACTTACATAAAGTATACGAGTGATGGTGGCAAATCACTTATCATTCAACATCGAGAACTCCTTCTGCATGTCGATAGCTAGAAAAAAAAGTAAATTATTAATTGAGCTTTTTCCTCACAAAGACATTTATAAATTTAAGATCCTCGACGTAAAGGTTTATGGTTGGCAGAATAACGTATTCAATATTGTATTTAATTCCGTCTTTTTTGTAATCTGGTGAGAAATACCTAATTTTTAATATTTAACTTTTTAAGAAGCTTTAGAATTTCGAAAATGTTAGCAGCTTTGAAAAGTTTAGGCATATCCACTTTATAACCAGACACGAAAATATCTTCATTTTTTCTATTTAAAAATACATTACATTTTTTTGGGTCCTTGTTATTGTTCTCATTTTTCGCCATGTTGTTGACTTTGAGCATCATAGAATAAATTCGCGAATAATACTTAACTTTACCTTTACACGGGCACTATAGTTTATTATGGAATGATATTTTTTCACAGAATTTCTAAAGAATATCAAAAAAACATAACGATAAAAGTTAGTTGGATTCACTTATACTTCTAAAATATTATATTGCTATAAACAGACTGTTTCAAAACAAATGCCCAGAAATTAACCTGGGACTCCTTGTATAACATAAAGGCTAGTTTGCTAAATAAAAGTTTGGTCAAAATCTTTAGCTTGAAAACGGAAATGGATAAAACAATCATATATTAAGAATTGTAACTATTACCCCTATCATTCTGCTTAACTAAATTTAAGGAAAAAAATATGTTTTTATTTTATGTGTTATTTGGAAACTTTCTTATCAACTGATTTTTTTGTAATACTTATCATTTAGTGAGCTGCTGTCACTTCCTATTCCCATTTCCTTCCTTCCTATTTTTATTATGCTTTATTTGATATTGTTCAATTGGTTTAAATACCAAACACAAATAATTTAATTAAAATTTATTACCCACTAATTTAATTGTTCAATAATAAAAGTTTTAATTCAATAACCCCACAATAACCCCGTGCACTAAATTATAAATTCAATTTATCAATTCTGCTTACTGGTTGATATAAAAGAATAAGAAAAACTGCATAATTTGGGAGCATAAAGAATTGACAAAAAAAAATAGTTTTATATCGG